AGTCTCGTCTCTACGGCGGCCGTCGAGCCACGTTTAGGGAATACCTCGGGAAATGAATTTCGAACGTGGTGTATCGGAAGAATCAAGTTTACCGGGAAATTGTTTCGTCGACAAAATGGAAAATCCATTTCCTCGCGGAGTCGTGAAAAAAAGGGACGGCAAATGGCGGGTGGAATCTTCGAATACGATTGAGAGGTGATGTAACGAGAGCAGGCTCCTGGAAATCTGCGTGGGAAGATTAGAGGTTGCGTTGCGGTGCGTAATGCAGTGAAAATGCATCATCCACATTGTGTCCGATGCAATACCATTAATATCGCGTTAAACATGCATGACTGCCACTTTGCTTGGCAACTTGCTTACTATCGAAATTATGATTTACACCGTATACAATTTTTATGTTACCTACGATATCCGCGCGTTCTCGCTCACTTGCACGAATCCTGCCGCAGAAAAATTTTAAAACTGCCATAAATTTTTTTTAAATCTTAACAAATGGTCTCGTGGGGAGAAGAAATACTGTGGTCATGAATTTAGCTGTCGAGGTGATATATTAATGTGTATGGAATTTTTCTACCTTATAGGTATCCAAGAATGTTTTGTACGAATGATAGGCATCTACAGAGCTGTAGGAATATCTGAGACTACATAGAGAGATCTAAGGATCTATCGCAGGATTTAGAAATGTACGACTATCTTATAAGGGAGATTTTCAACACCATTCTAGTATGACACCTTAATTTCTAATATATTGTACCATACGTGACCACCTATACACATTGATACTTTTTCTAAGGCATACTTGCAGTTACCCCATGGCAATTAATAAATTGGACAATGTAACGTATATCAAAGAATAGGGACCATAGTGTGCCAGTGAACATGCACTGTTTCCTGAATAACATGAGCTCGAAACAACTTTCATTTGTTTTAACGGCGCATAAAACGAAACCTCATGCGTGACGGTCATCTCTCATGAGAAATCAGAGCATCGCGTATACGCGACAGTGGTAGCGTGTTAAGATTGGTTATAGAGCCAGTAACAATAGTATAGGCTAATGTTCCATGGGACCGTATCGTTCAGTTAATTTATGTGTCTTCGGCGAACTTCCAGAAAGTTTCGAGAATAGGCCGACCGGTCAAAGACACCGTCGATTTTCCCTCGCATGTACATTCTAACAATTTTATCGAACGATATATGTCAGAAAACTTATTTTTGCCCGACAAAACAGTTTAACCAACTTGCAATTGAATCAAACTACGGTTCGATATTACGGTTTATTTTCGCGCGTTTTTCTGACAGATCATTAAAAAGTTCGATGGTCTCTTAAAGAAGGATTTATTATTTGTGAGGTTAGAAAGAGCTGTTCTTAGTTAACGCGGAATAAAAACAATGTGCTTTTAGGCCAGGAGTCGGCGAATCGATATCGAATCCCATTTTCGCGCGAGATTAATCATAATTCAAATTCTGACTGTTGGAAAACGATCGATTTCACTGCACTGCTCTCATTATTCTCTATTCTTCTATTGTATTTTTAGAAACATCTCATCACTCATTGGGTGAAAGATCCGAGGATACCGTCAATCAGGGTTATTTTTACCGAGCTAAACAATGTTAGCAGTCTACCCTCCGAAGTCCATTTTGGCGCGAGATCACCTAACTGACGATTACTTTCAAAAACGATTCATCACTCGTCACTGTTCAGGCTACCCGAAAGTAAAATGAAAAGAGAACTCGTTTCAAAGACCTGTTCAAGCACGCCGGATAACGATCGGTTAAATCTAAAAAGAACAGAAAAGAACAGGAAACACGATACTTACGTGTTTGAGAGGGGCGCGAGTAAAAGAGCGCGACGGCTCGGTTGCGGTTAACAACAGGTGTAAGCCGAGAGCGCGGCAAAGCTTCGAGTGGTCCTCGGTTGATCCGCCGGTAACTCGTCGGTGGCACGTCGCGTGCGTGTCTCGTTTCGTGGATTCGCGAGGAGCGTTCGGTAAAACGTTCGATGAATTCGGTCGATGCGATGGCGAGGTAACGAGGTCGAGATTCGGATGAACGTGATCGTGTCCTGGCGGGTCGGGTCGCTGTCAGACGAACACGGCGTTGCGGACGAGCTAGCTCTGTCCGGTACTTCGGTGCCGTGCCGGGTGCTATCCTCGATGCTTTCAGTCGGCGTCTGCGCTCTCCTAACCTTCCGACCTTCTCTTCCACCTGCACACCCCCACCGAATACGCCCGGCGTATTTTAGACTGCAGCCGCGATAGCTGCTCGTCTTCCTCCCTCTTTGTCGCGTCCTTCCACCTCCGTCCTGTCTCTCGTTGTCCCTCTTTGTTCTGCTCGTGTGCCCCCCTTTGCCCTCGCTTCACCTGATTTGCCTACCACCACCTGCCCGCACGCACCTGAGGTAGGGTCACTGCTTCTGCTCGTCCGCGCTGACCGGAGAACGCGCACCAGGTCGAACAACCTGCTGATGCTCGTGTGTACGCTAAGGGGTGAACGTTTGTTTATCGAGGAAGACGTAGGTGGTAATTACGGGTGTTTATCGGTTGTTTGGTTAACGTTTGGAACTTGCGAGGATACGCCCGCGCTCCGGGTAACTGCTTTATAGAAAGTCTTTACGCTTTTTTCGTCGGAACGTTTTTGTCGCAGATTTGCATTGTCGCTTCGAGTCTTTCGCTTCAACGGTACTTATTTAAGGTCGAGATGTTTATTCGAGACATTTTGTCTCTGCGTCCGCGGTTATTTTCTTTCGAAACTTTCCATTGTCTTCTAGATCTATTGTCCCCGTTACTAAAAATCTTTTAAGCAAGATTCCTGCTTTCGTGCAAATTTTCTTCGAAAGAACAGAGATCGTCCAATTTGGTCTTTTCGTCATTCGACATCTAGTTACGAGTTTACAAGTTTTCGAGAAATTTGACTAGATAAAAAGTTTCGGTACCTCGTCGATACTGTTCGAGAAGTAAACTCGAGATGAAGCAACCGAATTTAGATAAAACATCCCGGAATCGGACAAATATTGCCACCGTTTTGCTGCAAATAAACGTATCGTTTATATGCGACAACGTGGATAAGGAAGACATATCTCTCGAGTATACTGCCGAACGCTAGGAACTGATCTAGGCTACGACGCTTCTCATAAATTTCTCCCCGTGGAACAAGCACCGAGTGGCTGTAAATAATAAATCGGAGATTCATCGATCCGCTGACGATGAATTTTTCGATCGACACCGAAAACACGATGCTTCGTAGGAACCAGGGTCAACGCTCGTAGCCGACTTCTGCATCAAATTCCAGCCATGTTGAGCTATTTTGACGCAACCACTCCATTTACGTAGACAAACTAATCAAACTTTGAAACGGTAGCGCGAAACTTGTCCATCCTGCTAAGAGCGTTGCGCGAATAATTTCGCGGCATTCTTGCAATTAACCTTCGTGTGAATCTCTTTCGCGATAAGTTTCTGCGTTTACGAATGAAATTATAACTTTATAGAAAGAATGCGCTTTGTGTATACCTGACGTTTCACCTTATTGCGAGAGGATTAGCGACATTACTATTTGGCCAAGTTGAGACCACAACCACCGTTATCCTCCTTCCTCGACGCTGTTCTATCTTGAGAGATGGTATCGATAGGGTCAATGTTTGTGTGCAACTTCGATGAGATTCAACTTACTTCAACATCCTGCTGATATCTAGTCGATGCTAGGATTAGACCCGGACCGACCAACGCCGAGGTGGTCATTCAATTTTGCCAGTTCCTCCAAAGTTTTCCAATTTTACGTCCCTGTTCTGGATCAATGGACGTTTCGAAATAACAGGCGTCGTATGTTGTTTGGAAACTGTTGCTCCCGTGTCTTCTGCCTTTCAGAAATTAATATCGCGTTTTTCGTTTGAGTGAAAGTATCGATATAATCGAGTAACTAAAATTAATAGACTTGACTGTATCCTTGTTTAGAAACAAAACAGTTAATCACACAGCCGAATGTTAGGTATCAGCGAAAACATGTTCAAACTGATTATCGAATTAATTATGACAGGTCAATTAAGAGCGATGGTAAATTCCTGAATTAATATCTCCGAGGCATATTGTCCGGCCGAATTAACTGAAATTTCAGGTTACTCTTCGTCGATCAGGATCGAACAAATTCATCCACTCGGTCAGAAAGTAACATTTTTCTTTTTCGACATGATTGAAACGTTCAACGAATATTTTTACCTCTCTTGTCGGGAAGTAAAAACGTTCCTCGTGGGAATTAATTAATTGGTTACCCGATCAACTTTCTAACTGACATAATTCATCCGAACGATTAAAGCGGACATTTAAGTTTAACGAGATCTCGTTGTTTGAATCGACGATCGCGTTTCTTGGTCCATTTCAGCGTCTCCGTGTTCGAGTAGTATAGATACGTACGCGGTCAGCCGTGAAGAGGCCAGTGGGCAAGAAACGCGCAAAAAGCACGAAGGAAATCCGGTCGTTCTCGCAAAATGGATCGCTGATATTTGCTGACGTCGATATTTCTCGCGAATTGTACACTGGACGAAAACAACTCTCGAACTCGGACGTTGCCCCGCGAACTAGCTTCAAGAACGCGAAAAGTTTTCGCATCGTGACAAATTTGCAAACTCTCGAATACAGCATAGGCTTTCGCATATGTGGAGCACAATATATACCAAAAATTGAAGCCGGAGTATTTATACCGTCTCATCCGCGATTCAATTTACAGAGATTATACTTGTCATTGCTGTTGCATCACGAATGAATCACCTGTACTCCACCGCAGAGATTAGATCTGCTCTGTTCACTGGTCACTTTGGAAATCAATACTTTCCGATGAATCATGACTGTAAGAAAAGCTGCGAATTCGGTCGTATTCGAACAGCGCCGTTTTCAGATACAGAAATTTCCAATTTCGGAGGACGTAGATTCTCAGGAACATAGGAGAAATTTTTACGGGGGAAAGTAGGACGTGTCGCGATACCTTAAGACGCAGTCATCGGGCTGCACCGGAATTACGATGAAATAAAACTTCGAACACGTCCGCTGGCCGTTCGACCCGAGGTTCGCGAACATCACGAAATTCCTCGGAAACGAGAATTTCCGGGATACCGGCACCAACCGGCTCTGAATTTCTCGAAGGCAACGAGGATCGCGCTGGCATCGGCTCTCCGTATCGTTGTCTGAACGTTTCGTTTCGCGAACCGTGACTCCCCGGAAACGAAGCGTGAATAATTCATTCTGACGGAATTTAACTTTGTTTCTGCGCCTTCGGTTAACGTCCCGTCCCGATTTTCTACCCCGAAGAATCGCGAACCAGACTTCATTTTCCACGGCCTATACTTTCCGCGACTTCATCGAGCGGAAACCAAGGTCAGACTCGTCAGGGACACGTCGAAAAGTTAAACAAGCTATATGGACGATTAATTTTATTGTCGTACTTAGACCCGCCCGTTTGGCTGCTAAATACTTCGCAGCCACAGGGAGGCTACTGGCGGATAACGGATTATTGGGTCGTTAAGGTGGGCATTTAACGTTTTGTGAGGACTAAAGCTGCTATTAAATTTTCAACCCCCGTGGTTTCACCTTCGATGTAGGTTGGAAGCTCTTGACACCTTCGACGCAAGTGGAAGAGCGTGAATCAAGGGAACCGTGAAAACAATGTCCTGCTTTTTACACCGTTTGATTTCTCTCCTACGCAAGTTTTCAACGAAATCAGGTTTCGAGCAATTGCGGCTTTCAAGCTGAGACTGTTTATTTTGTTGCCTTTATATTGATAGTACTTTTGCAGATGTTACATGTAGGAAGCAGAGGGTTAAAATTAGCGAGGTTGTATCGACAAGTGATCGCTAAGATAGAAGTTATCGCGTTCACGCGGTTATTTTTATTCGATGCTTCTTTGTTTTTATTCGCGCCGCGTAAAGAAGACGCGGTTCGATAGATAAATAATTCCGCGTTTATTTTCCCTATTTGCTTGAAGTTCAAGGCGAACAAATCCAAACGTATTTATATGATCAGTAAACGCGAGACTTTTAATCCATTAGATCGTTTCTTGCTAGATAAACGAAGATGGATTCTCCGGTAACTGTAGAGGCACTTATGGAAGCGTAATGGGCTTCAAGACGTTCATCATTCATTCATTCGCTGTTGTAAGACGCTGCAAAGTAAAGAGAAACACCAGCATCGAATGCTCGTTGCTCTAGGGTATTGCGAGACACTGACATGACGTTTACAAGGGCGCATGAATTTTCTTTGTTTAGAGCTTACCATAATTCATCGTATTAGAACTGTGCGAGATATTGAATTTCCTTTATCTTCTTTTGAGATGTCGCGAAATTAACTGGTTTTTCTTATTTTAAGTCAGTTCGTCTGTTAGTATGTTATTAAATGTAATTGCTGTAATTGAGTCTGTGTGACTACAAACTGACATACAGAGTTGCATTGTAAACCTTTGCACTCAAAGGGTGACTCTCAACCATTAATTTGACGAAGTTAATACGACAATTGAAATCAGTGAAGCAGACGGTACTGGCAATTAAGAATAACTTCAAAAATTAGCTCTTTGATGATCACTCTCAGAACCTCTTACACTATCGCTATTCACCATATCACTTTTACCATTTATTCTGTCACATGATATAAAAATAAACAGTATTGCAGTGTACGTTAAACGATGTTCTCAAAGATAACTCCATCAGTAATTTCTGTTGAGTATGACAATATGTAAAATTACAAGAATGTTCGTCAAAACGTTCAGAGTATACGAGGATTAAATTAGCAATAAAATCCATAAAAGAATAGAAATGGATCTTCCACTCCATAAAGCAGGTACTTGTGACGTCAACTCCGGTTCCTGTAATAATTGGGTCTGGTAGTCCCGATACCACAAACAGGAGATAAAACTGAGTGTTCGGTGGTATGCCTTTCATCGACAGTGGTACATAGCCGAAAGCGAAACGCGACAGAACGGAATTTCCAATCTCCTCTCATCTTGGAGCGAAATCAAGTCTCGGAAAGCATCGTTGGCATGCGGTGGACTCGCAAGCACGTCGATCTATCCGCGTGTTCGCCGATTGGCCCGCAACTTCTCGCCTGGCTCCTTTAAATACTCCCTT